GTCAGGCTAAGTCTAAAAACCATCCTGAACAAAGGCGAGAGAGTATTCTCTATAGAATGTGGATTTTAAGAGATTTCCTGAGCTATTATGATACAGGTCTTTAATTGTGCCTTTCCCCTTTGCTTTATCTGGCATAACATTATAAGAAATGCCTAATGTTAATATAGTAATATCATAAAGAGAGTGAATATTTGGGAGTTCAAGGTTATAGGTAAAATCTGAGGGCAGTAAACAACTCAATCAGCAAGGAAAAACCCCACGTGCATCATCATATTCTTTGATTAAACTTACAATGTGTTTACCCTCCTTATTAAGGGTTATTTGAACGCTGTGATAAATCTTATTTGAAAATTGTGGGACCAACATTAAATTAGAATGTAATACATTTAATCTCTCTTCCGGCCAATTTATCTCCATAGGTATGGCATCCTGAGGAGGGTATATATTAAGTGTGAGAAACACCTGGTCCTTGCTGTTTAAATTGTTACAGACTTGATAACAGTAGACAAACCTATGTTTCCTAACACTTTTGTATTGCACCATATACTGATATTTGGGAGAGAAAAGGTTTTGTCACAGAAGTCAGATAATTCTACAGTGTTATTTTTTCCTTGGCAGTACTCCCTATGGCTAAGGGCCTTAAGAGTCAAAAGACTTACAGCCAATTAATTGTTTTAGGCCATGTAGGAATGGATTCGAACAGGCATTCATTACTTCTTAAAATTATTAAGTTAAAAAAAAAAACTGGCAATAAAACCAAAAAGCAAAGTTACAAGACTTATTTTTATTTTTTTATTTTATTTTTTATGGAGACGGAGTCTCGCTTTGTCGCCCATGCTGGAGTGCGGTGGCAAGATCTCAGCTCACTGCAACCTCTCCCTCCCCGGTTCAAGCAATTCTCCGACCTCAGCCTCCCAAGTAGCTGGGATTACCAGCGCTCACCACTATGCCTGGTGTTTTTTTTTTTAAAAGGGGGTTGTTTCAGAATAATTGAATGGAGAAATACAATGATACAGATCAAACCAAATGGATATAAAAAGTTGGGGAAAAAGGCTTTTCAGACACTGCTGCCACTGCCAGAAGCCCTGTACTATCAGCCATGGCCAACCCCACTGTGTTCTTCGACGAGCCCTTGGGCTGCATCTCCTTCGAACGGTTTGCAGACAGGTTTCCAAAGACAGCAGAAAACTTTCATGCTATGAGCACTAGAGAGAAAGGATTTGGTTATAAGTGTTCCTGCTTTCATAGAATTATTCCAGGGTTTATGTGTCAGGGTGGTGACTTCACATGCCATAATGGCACTGGTGGCAAGTCCATCCACGGGGAGAAATTTAATGAGAACTTCATGCTAAAGCATACAGGTCCTGGCATCTTGTCCATGGCAAGTGCTGGACCCAATACAAATGGTTCCCAGGTTTCCATCTGCATTGCCAAGACTGAGTGGTTGGATGGCAAGCATGTGGTCTTTGGCAAGGTGAAAGAGGCATGAGTATTGTGGAGACCATGAAGCGCTTTGGGTCCAAGAATGGCGAGACCAGCAAGAAGGTCACCATTGCTGACTGTGGACAACTCTAGTAAGTTTGACTTGTGTTTTATCTTAACCACCAAACCATTCCTTCTGTAGCTCAGGAGAGCGCCCTCCACCCCACTTGCTTGCCGTGGCCTATCATCTTTGTGCTCTCGCTGCAGTTCCCTTTGGGTTCCATGATTTCCTTGTTCCCTTCCATGCCTAGCTGGATTGCAGAGTTAAGTTTATGACTATGAAATAAAAACTAAATAACAATAAAAAAAATTGGGAAAAGAAAGAATGGAAACAAATTCTAAGAGGTTTTAAAAGGTTTATGGACAGTTTATCTTGTGTAGTCATAGCTGACCAAGACTAGACAGATTTGTTTGCAAAGTATATTAAAATAAGCTTTAGTATTAAAAGCATATTTATATATATGACATATAAAATACATATTATAAAATATTTAACATATAATGTATATTATAATGTACAATGGATATAAAAAGTTGGGGAAAGAGGCTTTGCAGATGCTGCTGCCGTTGCCAGGAGCCCTGTACTATCAGCCATGGTCAACCCCAGTTTTATATCCATTATAATGTAGAATGTAGAATACAATATATATTATATGTTATATATAAGATAGAGAACTATTACATAATGTATAATAAAGCATATTGCATATTATATATTACATAAAATATATATTATCTATATTACATAAAATATAATATATATATATATTTTTTGAGACAGAGTTTTGCAAGCTGGAGTGCAATGACGTGATGCTGGCTCACTGCAACCTCTACCTCCCAGGTTCAAGTGATTCTCCCGCCTCAGCCTCTGGAGTAGCTGGGATTACCGGTGCCCACCACCATGCCCAGCTAATTTTTTGTATTTTTAATAGAGACAGGGTTACATCATGTTGGCCAGGCTGGTCTCAAACTCCTGAGCTCAAGAAATCCACCCGCCTTGGCCTCCAAAAGTGCTGAGATTACAAATGTGAGCCACCATGTCCAGCCAAGTGTTGTATTTTCTTTTTTTTTTTTTGAGACAGAGTTTCGCTGTTGTTACCCGGACTGGAGTACAATGGCACAATCTCGGCTCACTGCAACCTCCGCCTTCTGGGTTCAAGCAATTCTCCTGCCTCAGCCTCCCGAGTAGCTGGGACTATAGGCGCGCACCACCATGCCCAGCTAATTTTTGTATTTTTAGTAGAGACGGGGTTTCACCTTGTTGACCAGGATGGTCTCGATCTCTCAACCTCGTGATCCACCCACCTCGGCCTCCCAAAGTGCTGGGATTATAGGCATGAGCCACCGCACCCGGCCCAAGTGTTGTATTTTCAAGGAGGCTCATGGAAAGGATGGGAAAAATTCTGACAAATATAGGTTTCTGATAACTCTGAAACTGTATCATTGGACTAGGTAAACATTTCCATCTAATGAAAATAAAACTGGTCTCATAAAATTACTAACCTCCAGACTAATGTTTTCCATTTTTCACCCACTCTTCTGACTTGGAATCACTAAAAATTAAAATGGCCTTTTTTGGCTTGGCACAGTGGCTCATGCCTGTAAATCCCAGCTCCTTAGGAAGTCAACTCAGGAGGATTCCTTGAACTCAGGGGTTCAAGACCAGCCTTAGCAACATAAAGAGACCCCATCTCAGAAAAAAAACAAAACAAATTAGCCAGGTGTGTGGTACATGCCTTTGATCCCAGCTACTTGGGAGGATGAGGTGGCAGGATAGCTTTGCCCAGGAGGTTAAGGCTACAATGAGACATGATCACACCACTGCACTCCAGCCTGGGTGACAGAGCAAGACCTTGTCTCAACAAAAAAACACAAAAACACAAACAAAAAACCCTGCCTTTTTCCTAAGGCCTTACCAGCTAAAGCTAGTCAACCTGGCTTTGAAAAAAACAAAAAATCACCACAACAACCTATATTTGGACAAACTTTACACACAACCTACAATCCAGGAAAATAGATTGTTATTAATCTTGCCAACTGACTGCCCTCCAGCCTCTAAAGAAACTAGTTTATAGAGTACACCAGACATTAAGCTTCATTTATCTTGTTCCATAAAAATGTCTCATTAAAGATCTGTTTGCCTACATCATATACAGAGGCCTAGCTTTGAGAACTCATCTACAATGCCATCTCCTGAAATGAGACACAACAATTTAACTGGACAGGCCAAATGAGAGACTGGTTTAATGGGATCTCTTGCCAATCAATTACTAGCCTGATTTCTCTCTCCAAAGACACCAACTCAGCTTATAGTGAAACTTCTAAGGAAGTTTCAAATAAAGAAGACCAGGGACTCACACCTTAAAATATAGCATCCTATATGTTAATTATTTTAAATTAAAGGCCCTTGGATACCAGCAGATACTGGAAACAGCTTTACTCTGATAACTACCTTATCTGCCTAAAGTCCAGACCTGTCAAAGAAGACAACAATTACTTCTACGTTTTCATTAATTTAACTCATAGTACCGGAAGAAAGATTGAAACCTGTTAACACACCTGGACAGACTTTTGTTAGAAACCATCGTCTGCTCTGCAGGCTCAACAGTAGTTGTCCCAGCCCACTGAATCACCCTAAAAATCATTTACCATCCACCTTAAAATCACCCACATTTCCCCATCTCCCATATTCCTAAGAAGAAGGGCATATAACCATCTGTACCCCATTGGGTCATTCTCCTACAATTCCCTCATGCTATGCACGTTAAAATAAAATATCTTTTGAAGTGCCCTTTGTCGGTTGATTTTTTGAACAAACCCTCAGAGAGCAAGGGGAAGTTTCTCCTTGCCCCCCACGTGCTATATGGCAGAGGGCGAAGCGCTTTAAGTTAATGTTCTGAGCGGTCCCTCCACCCCTACCGAGGAAACACAGCAAGGAGCTTGGGACGGATTTTTTACGACGTATTTTTTTTTTACAATTCCTTTACAATCGCCCCAAAATTTTATCCACTTTCACATCCTCACGATCCAGCAGAGTGCCTAGAGTGTACACTCTAGAAATGTTTACTGAATTAAGAAACGGCTGACTGTGTGTGCAGCTAGTGTGGCCAGAAGAGCAGTTTCAAGTCCCAGGCACTCATTAGTTGTGTGATCTGGGGCAAGTCGCCTAAATATACCGAGATCCATTTCTTCACCAATGAAACAAGAACATTACTACTTCCCTTGTCTACCTACTGGCTCCTCAGGAGGCTTTACTTAATGAGCGGCACTGTAAAACGCTGTACACGTCTATGTAGAGTTTTCATAGGGCTGTTGATTAGTGTGAATGGTGAAATGGAAAGAAACCTGGACTCCGCAGTCAGAAGCTGTTGGGCCGCTCGCTGACTTGATGATGGTCCGGACCCTGTACTTAATAGTTTGTAAGTCCGCTACAGGCTCGGAACCTCAAGTGTCCTCAGAAAGGGAAAGCCCAGGGTTCCCAGTCAAGGTCGCGGGGTACTAAGACGCGGGACGCTCACCCAGTCAAAGTCACACGGGTTGCCGTCTTCGCGTTGGGTAGGCAGACCGTTGCAGAGCGGCGGCAGTTTCCTCACGAGTAGGAAGGCAGCAGAGAGCAGGGCCGACAGAAGGTAGTAAGGTTGGGCCAGCCATCGTGAAAGTCGCGGCACAGAATACACCAGAGCAATTAGAGGTGCCAGGATCGCCATCTTTTTGGCCGTTAGGGCCGGGGCTCATTGGCGTTGTAGGTCTGGCCCCGCCTCCCTCACCATAGAGACTGCTATTGGGCCGTATCTCAAATGTACCGCCTCTAAATCCGGATGTAGCTCTCTGGACGCTGTGGTAGGTCAGAACCCAAATAAGAATTTAACATATTATTGGTTAGTCTAGTTGTCGCTTTATCCACCTAAGTCATTTTATTGGACTGTAGCAAACGAAGCTAGCAGAAGAATCTAATAAGGTTAAATAGCACTTTCTAAACGTTCTCATAAGGCGACGGAAGTAGTTGCTGAAACAAGGTAAGCGGTGCCTGAGGCATCCAATGACAAGAGGCTCCTTGAGAAAGAGGGCGGTACCCCTTAAAAGCATTGTCCAATGAAAATTACCAACGCCAGACATCTAGGCAGCGCCGAGGCGGAGGGGACGATGGAGAATTTCACGGCACTGTTCGGGGCTCAGGCTGACCCACCACCGCCCCCAACCGCACTCGGCTTCGGACCAGGAAAGCCTCCACCCCCGCCACCACCTCCTCCGGGCGGGGGTCCCGGCACGGCCCCGCCTCCCACCGCAGCCACGGCCCCTCCCGGCGCGGACAAGTCAGGAGCTGGCTGTGGCCCTTTCTACCTAATGAGGGAACTGCCAGGTGAGTACACGGCCTTGCCAAAGCCAGCCAATCAAATCTTAGAGAGGAGGTGATGGGCGTGGTTCTCAGCCGGCTAGCGGAGGTGCCAGGTAACCTAAGAAAGACAGACTCGGACTGTGGAGCCATAAGTCGGAAGCGCTGTTAGGATTCACAAGCAGAGGGATGACTTGAATTCAACCAAACGGCGGGGGAGAGGGACGGTGAATCTCCGTGACACTGGTTTATGTCTCCCTAAAAAAATGATCCAGGACTGGGCGCGGTGACTGATGCTTGTAATCCCAGCACTCTGGGAGGCGGAGGCGGGCGAATCACCTAAGGTCAGGAGTTCGAGACCAGCCTAGTCAACATGATGAAACCCCCCTCTCTACTAAAAATACAAAAATTAGCCGGGCATGGTTGCGTATACGTTTAATCCCAGCTACTCAGGCGGCTCAGGCGGGAGAATCGCTTTGAACCCGGGAGGCGGAGGTTGCGGTGAGCCTAGATTGCTCCACTGCACTCCAGCCTGGGCGACAGAACGAGACTCCCTCTCAAAAACAAAAGATCCAGGAGATCCAGGGTTTCAGTTAGGAACTTGAGAGGCCTGATTTAATATCTTTGGGGACCCAAAGTTTTAATTTTGCTGTTGGTTTGGGGCAAGTTGCCATTATTCCTTCTAAGGTTCCGGCGTTTCCTGGTCTGTTCTAAGAAGGGATAAGAATCAAACCAAACTCTTTTCATTCAAAAATTAATTTTGTTGAGTTCCTATGTACCAAGCACTTTTGTAAATGCTTGAGATACAGTTATGAACAAGACTGACAAGATGCTTGCTTTTTTTTGGAATGTACATGTCAGTGGAGGAGGCATTGTAAACAAGATTATATCAGAGAGTGATTAATTCTAGGAGGAGAAAACATGATAAAGAATTGAAAGGGGCCAGGCGTGTTGCTCACACCTGTAATCCCAGCGCTTTGGGAGGCCCAGGCAGGAGGATCCTTTGAGTCCAGGAGTTTGAGACCAGCCTGGGCAACATGTCGAGACCCAGTCTCTACAAAACATACAAGAATAGCCAGGCACGGCAGTCCGTGCCTATAGCCCCAGCTATTGGGGAGGCTAAGGGAGGAGATTCTCTTGAACTCAGGAGGTTTCGGCTGCAGTGAACCAAGATAGTGCCACTGCACTCCAGCCTGGGCAACAGATGAGACCATCTCTCAAAAGAAAAAAATGTTGAGGGCAGAACTACTTTAGCTAGAGTGACCAGAGATGCTCTTTCCATGTAACTAACATTTGAACTAAAATATAAGCATAGACAAAGGGCCAGCTATGGATGGATAGGAGGGAGAGATAATACTAGATACAAGTAATGAGGTCAGAAACCCTGATGTGAGAAAACGCTTAGAATATCTGAGGGACAGAAAATCAGTTGGACTCCAGTGAAGTGAACGAAAGGAAAGAGTCTTAGGAGAGAGAGACAAAAGGAAAGGTGGGAGAGTTAGGCAGAGGCCTTTATAAAGTAATAAAGGCATTTAGATGGCAAATACCAAAGGAAGCCGTTTAAAAAAAAATTTATAGAGGCAAAGTCTCACTGTGTCACCCAGGCTGGACTGCAGTGGCATAATCATAGCTCACTGTGACCTCGAATTCCTGGGCTCATGCTGTCCTCCCAGCTCAGCCTCCCAGGTAGCTAGGGCGACAGGCATGCGCCACCATGGTTGGCTAACTTTTAAAATTTTTCTGTAGAGATAGGGTCTTACTGTATTGTCCAAGCTGGTCTTGAACTCCTGGCCAACAGCAGTCCTCCTGCCTTGCCCTTCCAAAGTGCTGGGATTATAGACGTGAGCCACTGTGCCCAGCCAAGGAAAGCCATTTTAACACAGGAACTTGGTCAGATTTACTTATTTATAATCATTCAAGCAGCCACATGACAAATAGAAAGTGGGGAAGTCAGAGGTTACCACTCATAGTCCAGGAAAGATGATGGTTCAAACCAGGGCATAGCAGGGCATAGAGAAGTAAATGGATACAGGATGTTAGAGGTAGAGCTGATGGGGATGAAAAGTTGAATATAGGGCCAGGCGCTGTGGCTTATGCCAGTAATCCCAACACTTTGGGAGGCCGAGGTGGGAGAATATCTTGAGCCCGAAAGTTTGAGACAAGCCTGGGAAACATAATGAGACACATCTCTACAAAAAATAAATATAATTTAGCTAGGCATAGTGATGTGTGCCTGTAGTCTCAGCTACTTAGGCGGCTGAGGTGATAGAATTACTTGAGCCCAGGAAGTTGAGGCTGCAGTGAGCCGTGACTGCACCACTGCACTCCAGCCTGGATAATAGGGGAAGAAGTGAAGGAGAGAGTAAAGTGAAGGAATGATGTCTTCTTAAGTTTTCACCTTGAATAATTAGGTGTATGGGTATGGAGACTTGGAAGATGAGGAAGGAACAAGTTTGAAGAGGTGGAAATCAAGTTTTCTGGACATGTTAGGTCTCCAAGATGCCTTTCATTATCTCAAGTCTTATTTCCACATCATGACTTGAGGGAAATAATAACAAATATTGGTATGGTACTCTGAAGTTCACAACACCCTTATATGTAGTAGTATTTAATAGTTAGAATACCCCTTTGAAGTAGGCATTATTATCTATATTTTATAATTGGAAAAACAAATAGAGAAGTTGCCATCCCTTTGATTAGTCAGTGGTTGATGGCCACCAGCAGTTTCTTTTAATCTTTCTTTTGCCTTCCCTATTCTGATTGTAACTATTTATATAATAGCTATAGTCAGTCAACAGATACTGAATATCTGTTCTGGGCAAATGCTGGGTGTATGAGAAGGGTGAGAAGGAGGAAGAGATTAGTAATGCTGGTCATTGCTTTTCAAGTTTAGTTCGGAATGTAAGATTTGTGGTTTAAGGATAGTGACTATATTTCTTATCAACTCCATCTCATTATTCTGTGCTCATGCCTCACAACAGCAATTAACAATATCTTAGCCATCCATATTAAGAACTACCTCATGTTTTTCAGTGTATTGTTATCCAAAATGACAGCAAGAATAAGATGTCACTTGACCTAGACCTTGAATAATTCATGTTGGTGAAGAAAAATTAGGAAGAATTTTCCTAAAAGGAAATAATGTGAAGGGTGTTATTTTGAAGAGATAGGGAGATCCATTTGGATGGATCAGAAATTTTGCATAGAGGAATAGTGATTGATGAGGCCCCCCAAAGCTAAGTTGGAGTAGATGTAATTAGCCTTGAGTGCCAGTCAGAGGAATTTGAGCTTTCTCCTGAGGACGAAAGGAAACCATTAAGATTTGTGACCTGAGGAGTACTGCTTTCCAAAAATATCTGGAACATGTGGTGCCATAGATTGAAATAGAGAAGCCATGAGTCATGTGGGCAAGATTTGGAATTTTTTTTGTTGTTAAGATGGAGTCTCCCTCTGTTGCTCAGGCTGGAGTGCAGTGGTGCAATCTCAGCTCACTGCAATGTCCGCCTCCTAGATTCAAGCAGTTCTTCTGCTTCAGCCTCCTGGTGTGCCACACCTGACTAGTTTTTTTGTATTTTTAGTAGAGACGGCGTTTCACCATATTGGCTAGGCTGGTCTCAAACTCCTGACCTCGTGATCCACCCACCTCTTCCTCACGGAAGTGCTGCGATTACAGGCTTGAGCCACCGTGCCCAGCCAAGACTTTGAATTTTAAAACAAAAAAACTGTTTTGTTTTGTTTTTTTAAATCTTGCTGGGTGCAGTGGCTCATGCCTGCAATCCTAGCATGTAGGGAGGCTGAGGCAGGCAGATGGCTGGAGTCCAGGAGTTCAAGGCTAGCCTGGGCAACATACCCGTCTCTACAAAAAATGCAAAAATTAGCCAGGCATGGCAGTGTATGCAGGTAGTCCCACCTACCTGGGAGGCTGAGGCAGGAAAATAGTTTGAGCCCAGGATGCAGATATAGCAGTGAGCCAAGATCGTGCCGTTGCACTCCAGCCTGAGTGACAGAGCGAGACTGTCTCAAAAAATAAGTAAAAATAAAAAATAATCTTTGTAGAACTAATAGTCAAAACAAGAATTTGAACTCTCAAGTTAGAGTTTAGAAAAAGCACAGACTGCCTTCTCACCTGAGCCTTAAGGGTAACCATCTGGACAGGTTGGTTATCCTTAAGGAGAGCTGGAGGAGAGGAGGAAATTCTATTATAGTGGCAAGAGGCAGTGCCCAGAGTTATGAGGAGAGATACTGTGACATTGGATCTTCTGCTGTTACCGTTGCTCAGTCTTCTGAGTTGTTTGGTAGTAAAGGGAGGAAAAGGATGGAGTAAGGCCTAGAGATAGAGCGGGAAAGTACCTTGTTGATTTAATAAATATTTATTGAGAACCTATTATGTGTACTGTGCTGGGCACTAGCGATACATGAATGAATAAGACATTGTCTGTGCCTCCAAGGAGCTTACAGTTCAGTACCTG